TGTGACTCTTGATCTTGGGGTTGTGAGTTTAATCCTCACGTTGGGTGTAAAGAGGACTTAAAAAGTAAAATCTTAAAACAAAGAAGTGCATATGATTTCGGAAAGTGTAATTAGGCAATTTCTCAAGATATAAAAGTTGTTAACCTTGACTGAAATACGGAAAATAACTATTCTTGCCAAAAACGTATTTAAATACAAACAGAAATTCCCAGAGTCATTTCCCCCAAATAGGAACAAATCTAAGTAGTATCAGGGATGAGTGGCTGGCTTAGTCGGAAGATCATGCAACTCTTGATCTTGGGATTCTGAGTTCAAGCCCCATGTTGGGTACAGAGATTACTAAAAAACAAAAGTATCAGATTTTTCTCCTGAAACCCTCTATAGTATCTTAAAATAAGGCAATTCTACTCTCCAAGTAGGAAGGGTTGGGCAGAGGGCAGCAAGTATAATAGGTAGCCCTCATCCCTTCTAGAGCTTATCTTTAAACAGGTATAAGGTATAAACCATAAACCTAACACTGGGATAAGCACAAGAACTTAGACCAACACTGAAGCTTGCATAAATGTAAATAGTATTTTCCAGGCTCTAAAAAGGCGCTCTGAAGATCCTTCTAGAACAATGTAGGCCATCTGCCCCCAGGGAGGAGGGATGCCAGTCTCACAGTGTCTGAGAGTAATTAATTCTGGAAATAAACAGGCTCATCTAAGTACTATTTCATAAATGTTCATTTATTTAAGTTGATTGTACATTACAAAGCCGCAATTTAGTTTAATTGGTAACCCAATTTCTAAAGACAACGTTAGCCTCTCGCTGAAAAGACAACAATGTTGTCACATCACTCCTATGGAATCCAACAACATAGAGCTTCTTTCACATCACCAGGCTTCCATCCATGTGAAGCCTCACCTGGGGAAAGAAGCACAAATCACATGACAAAATCACCGGGAAATCTTGCTGTTTCCCCGCACAGTGGCATCTATTTCTTAGACTCCCCAGAACAAGTACCCTATCTGTCTACAGCAGAGCGCGTGCGATAGGTGCGGTACCCGACCACCGACCACCGAGGCCCACCAGCGCCCCGGGGGCAGGCGCCCGCCAGGACCCCGCCGGCTCGGCCCGGGGCTGACCTGGCCTCCGGACCGCCGCCCGCCGCCGTCTCCGCGGGGAAGAGACGGCAGCAAACCGTTAGAAACGTCTGTTACCTTCACGGAAAGGCTGCGCTGACCTTCCTCAGGAAGCGCCTTCCGTGGTGGGGCGCGCATCGTAAAATGCTTGAAACACGGTGCAAGATCACTCTGAAGTCCGTAACCAAGCACGCCCTCAGACACCGGGTGAAAGGGAGGAGGTCTCAGCAACCCACCTGTTGGCCGCGGTGGACCTAGACGCCGGTCCCTAAGTCGGACAGCCGCCGTTCCGCAGCACAGGCAGGCCGCTGGCCGGCAGCCCCCCTGCAGGAGCACAGAACGCACGCAGCAGCACAGAACTCGGGGGTGCAGGGGCCGAAACACCCCGAACAGCTTTCCCGAGCGCGCTCGGGCACGGCGCCTGAGACCGCGAACCCTCCCATCCTCGCCCCCGACTCCGGGGCCCTCGGGGTCCTCGCCCTCACCCCCCCCCCGGGACACTCACGCTCCCCCCGCTCCGCAGGGCTGCCCCCGGCCCTCGGCGGGCCCTGGGCGGGACGCCTGAGTTACGCTCCCGCCAGCCTCGCCCCGGCCCCGGGGGGCCGCCATTGCTCCGCGGCCGGAAGTGGCCGGGATCGGGCCCCGGAGGGACAAGGGCGGGGCCGGGCCCCCAGCCAATGGGGAGGCGGCCAGCGGGCGACGCGCCCCGCCCCCAGAGCCACCGTCTGCGGGGATGGCCGGGCCGCAGGGCGGAGGCCAAGCGGGGCGCCAATCAGAGCACAGGAGCGCCGAAGCGGCCCGCCCCGCCGGCGCCCAGGGCCAATCGGAGGCCGGAGGCCGGGCGACCCGAAGACATTCAAATCAAGGGGCCCCCCTCCTCCTCCCCGCCCCCCGAAGAAAAAAGAAGGCAGCGGAAACGGAGACCCGTGCCAGTCACTGCGCAGTGCCCACCCTCATCCGGCGCGGCGGCCAGTAGCTGCGCGGCGGACTGATAAGGACATTCCATGGGGGACACCGGGGCCAATGGCGAGGCAGCCAGAGCGGGACGTTCTCAGTATGCTAATGAGATCCCTATAAAGGTGGCTGCGAAGCCGAACCCCGGGGAGAGCGCGCAGGGCGCCGTCCCCGCGGGCTCCGTGCGCTCGGGCCGTGGCAGCCCCCGCCTCCCCCCGCGCTTCCGTTTCCCTGCTGCGCAGCCCTGTAAACAGGAGTAAACTCCGGGGGACGGTCGGCGTCCCGCACACGGCCCCCAGCGCCCAGCCTGACACCGCAGGAAAGTTTCCCCAACAGCCAGCAATTCCCAGCGGACGCCAGCCCTCCGCCTGTCCCCGGAACTCGGGGCAGCCGCGCCGCAGAGAACGACCCACAGGTCCTCTGTCCTGCCATGTTCCTCGGCCGGCCAGCCGAGCAGCTCTGCCCGCGCCCCCCGGGCCCCGCGGATGGGCGACTGCCCGACTCGCCGTCCCTCCCTCCTACCCTTCCCTCCGCGCGCATGGAATAAAGCCCTGGCCCTCCGCGACCTGCCCCCGGCCGCGCCGCCCCGCGCACGCCGGCCCTTCTGGGGTCCGGCTCCACGGGAGGCCGGGGGGCGGCGGGGGCGGCCGACCCCGGACTTTACATAACACTCGGATCGGGGATGGCGAGGAGGGCCGGGACCCGCCGCCCGCAGCGCCCTCCCCGCAGCCCTGCGCGCAGCCCCGGCGCTGCGCCCCCCAGCCCCGGCGGCCGCGGCACCTCCCTCCCCCGGCGCCCCAGCCTGCTCCCCCCAGCCCCCTCCTCCGCAGCTCCCCGCCTCGTCACTTCACTACAAAGAGCGCTTTGCTCGCGCAGCCTGGCATGGAGACCGCCCGTTCCTCCTTCCTCCTCCTCCGTGTCCGGGCTCCGCGCACAAGGACCTTGACGGACCCGAGGCGCCCCAGACCTTTTGTTCCCGGCCGGCCGGGTTCCTCCGGGCGGGGGACAGGACGGCCCGGGGCCCCGCGGCGCCCGCGGCCGGCGGGGATGGAGCGGCCGCCCCCGCCCATCCATCCCGCCGTACCTTGGTATTTGGCGTCGATCTCCCGCATCAGGGAGACGTTTCTCTGCAGGTCGAAAGGCAGAGACTCGATGGAGTCCAGGTAGTCCTCCACATAGTTCACCAGGTGGATCTGCTCCCCGTTGGCAGGGCTCAACATGGTTCACCGAGGTCCCCGGCGACTCGGCGCGGCTTTCCGCTTCCTCCAGCCCCCGCCCCCTCGGAGCCCAGCGCTGCAAAATGCAAAGCTCCCGCCCGCCGGCGCCCCCCCTCCGGCCGGCCCCGCGCCGCTACATCTGCGAGCCGCGCCGCCTGGGCCCGGGGACCCGGCGCCTGGCGGGCCGGGCCGGCGGTCGGCGGCCTGGGGCGCGGGGCGGGCGCGGGCGGCGCGTGCGGGCGCGCACCCCGGCGCAGGGGCCGGGGCCGGGGCCGAGCGAGCGCGGGAAGGGGCGCGCGCCGCCCGCCGCGCCGCACTTGTCCAACGTGGAGAACCCAAATACCAGTTTCAAACACTTGGGAAACATTCGGCCCCCCGCACCGCGCATGCGCCCCGCCCCCCCCGCGCCCCCCGCCCCGCGGGCCCGCCGGCCCCGCCCCCGCCGCGCATCACGCCCCTCACCGACCCGGCGGAGCGGGGGTGTGGCTTTGTCTGTCACTCGGGCTGGGGCGGGGGTCCCGGGAGGGGGCGGCGGGCGAGGCGCAAACTTTACTAAGAGTTTCGCACTAGGAGGCAGAGCCTGCCGGGCGGCAATGCAGGACGGCCGGGGAGCGCGGGGGCAGCCGGCCGCGCCGGAGACCCGGTGGGATCCGACCCGCCGCGCGGTAAGGCCGCCACCGAGGGCCGCGCCCCCTCCCCCCCTCGCCCGGGGGAACACCTCCCTCCCCACACCCAACCCCTCACTCTCCAGCGCCCAGCCGCCCCGCGGGACATAAGTAAGGCCCGAAGCGGACTGGCAAGGCCGAGGCCCAATCCCCTGGTCGCCCTCACCTCGGCGCGCCAATCAAGGCGAAGGGGGCGGGGCGAGCGCGGATAACTCCTCCCGGGCTCCTACTAGGAGAAACCCGCGTCCTGCGGGGGGCGGGGAGAGAGGCCGGGCCGCGCAGGGCGGAAGTGGGGGCGCATGCGCACTTGCACGCCAGGGCGGCCACAAGCCCGGGAGGAGGAGACCTACCCTTAGGCTGAGGACCACCGCTCCCAGCAACCACGGCGCTCACGCGCCTGCGCGGTCCTCACCGCCTTCCCTTTGTGTTGCCGGCCGGAGCCCAGTGCTGAGCCGCTTTGGAGACAAAGGGGCCCTAGAGGGGAGCTGCTTTCCGGGCCGGGCGCCCACAAAGGGCGGGTGACCCCCTCCCGACTGTGCCCTGGGATCATTCGAAAGCCCCCCCCGCCTCCCAGAGCGGGGCGGGGCGGGGCGGGGCGGGGCGGGCGTCCGGTCCCGGGGGTCCGGGCCCCCCACCCCTCCCCCACGTCCTGTCTCCCCGCCCTAAGCTCCCGCACCCGGGCTTCCTGAGGGGCGCGACGCAGACACTCCCGTTGCCTAGGTGACGGGCCCGCGCGCAGCCCCGCCGCTTCCGGCATAGGCCCCGCCCCGTGGGCGTGGTCGCGCTCCGCCTTTGTCCGGCGGGCCCGGCCGGCCGGGGCGGCCTCGGGGCGGCCTCGGGGCGGGGACGGGCTGTGGGGGTTGGGGGGCTGGAGGGACCGGGGGCGGGGGCGCCGGGCCGCGGCGTCCCTCCCCGGGAGCGGCTGTCGGCTCCGACCGCCCGGTCCCGGCGCCGTGTGTGCGGGGCGCCTCTCCGGACTTGGGGCCGCAGCCCCACCGCGGGGGTACGTACGGACGAGCTAAGTCTTTTAGGTGAAAGGGCACGTGAAGTGCGGCGTGTAAGCCCGCCCGGGGTGCGTAAACCGTCGGGGGCGGCGGCGCCATCCCCGCGAACCGCGCGGAGGTGCCGGCAGACGTCGGTGCCGAGCTGGTGTCGGAGACGGAAGCTCGGCTGCCGCGGAGATCACGACCACCGCCGTTAGCGCTGTGAAGGGCGGAGATTTGATCTTCACTCTCTCTCTCTCTCTCTCTCTCTCTCTCTAAGATTCTGTTTGTTTATTCCAGAGACCCCGAGAGAGGGGCAGGGACCCAGGCAGGGGGAGAAGCAGGCTCCCTGCAGGGGGCCCGAGGCGGGACTCCTTCCCAGCACCCCGGGGTCTCGATCCGAGCCGCCCGGGCGCCTGGAGCCTCGCTCGCAGACCCTTTCATCCCCTCCCCACAACGAAAGGACTGTCCTTTGACCCTGGGGAGAATGGGCTCTGTACGTGCGGGTTCGCGCTCCTTCCAGCCTCGGCCCAGCTGACAGCAGGTGATGAGCGGAGGCCGCTCGTCCGCCGAGACACTGGAGTGCTGCGACGTGGGGCGGCGGGGCCACGTGCGACACGTAATGATGACACAAAGCTGAGTAAGGAAATGATTCCCTTTCCCCGGGACGCTGCACTTAAAAGTACCGTAGCAAGAAAGAGGGTCTTCTAATCTCGCAGGGAGCCGGGGAGGGGCTGGCTCTAGAATGAGTGCGGTTTGTCTGAACTGAGGAGGCGTAGAAGCCGGGAATGACCTACCCCTTCCCGCGATAACCGAGCCGGTTTGGACTAGGTCATCTTTTTAAGAAATCACGGTGTTGCCGGAATGAATCCTTTCATGTTTCCGTGGACTCCGCAGAAACAGAGACAAAAGGTCATCTGGATCATACCAGCAAGAAATGGTTCATGAGCGCCCACCAGGTGCTCGCTGCTGTTCACGAACTAGGGATACAGCAGTGCATAAGGAGCTTGCATTTGTGAGCTAAACAGCCAGAAAATGTTTTATTTGTTAGCTTTGCAGAGTCATTGAAATATATACAATGACTTCACAGTGTTCTAAACAAGGTTAGAAGGCTACGAGCTGAAACATAACTATGACCCTGTATTTTAAATATACTACTCAGGAAAGTTCTTTATCTTTGAAGATGTACCGGGTTACTTTGGTTGTTTCAGCTCTTTGGAGTGTGTTGCAAAAAGGGATACTGATTTTTATTCTTATTTTTTTAGAATTATATTTCTAGTTTAACCGGTGATGCTCCAACCCGTGGGAGTAAAAAGGAAGAAGTGAACATAAAATTTTTTGTGTTTTGAGGTGCTTAAAAAATAAATGCTAACACATTTCTCTCAAACCTGAAATACCTTCAAAAGCATACTATCGGTAGCTTACTACCTTATCTACTCTACTTTGGATTTGCAAGATTTGGCCTCGAAAGAAAGTATATTACTGAAAAACCATGTCTTTGTCATTAAGGACTAGGAAACGGCATTCAAGATACTTTGGAAGCATTACTTTTAATACACCTATTTGTTCTGGCCTCAGTTGGGGAGGAGTCACTTCAAATTAACAGGATTCTCTTCTTGGGAGTACATTTGCTAATAAATCTTCCCAGTCACTTTTACTTAATATTCAATCTGCAAAAGGAATATTTTTGATCACCAATGACATTGAGGATATTTTTATCATTGTTTTGATGATTTCCAAAAGACTTAAGTGAAGGTAGAATTGCTGCCCGTAAGGGCAGAACACCTTACATGACTGGTTTTCTGAAGACAGAAGATGCCATTGTTAATTTAAAAGTCATGAATTTTCTATTCCAACATGCCAGCTGCCCAGATTCATCTGGAGGATTTGGTCTTCAGTGTTACTAAATCTGTTTTCAAAACTTTTAGCCTGTCCCTTGAATTCTGTGTGTTGACACAGATTGCCTTTTGTTCATTTTCTTATTTTACTAGCACATCTAGTATGTGGACCAGACCTTTCTCTATCAGATATTTCACTGCCCAGATTTCCTCCCACATGCACAACAGGTGGATTTCATCACAGATTAATTCAGCAGCTCTTTTCTGAATGTAGTGCTGGGAACAGTGAGAGAGTTCAAAAGAATTTACAGTCTGAAGTACTCAGGGAGAGAAATATACATATTGTACTAGACACAAGAGACACAAAATAACCAAGATAAGGATGCTGGGAGCCTGTGCTTAGAACTGGAGAGGTCTCCTAATTCTGAGCAATAGGTTCTAACATTTTAGCTTTATGCATTAGAACGTAGTTTACATTAGACTAAAATTTAGCTTGAAACAGAATTGCAGAATTGGACTCCAGGGATCTTGAAGAAGAAAAAAAAAACACACACACACCACCACCACCTTATGTGTTCTAGGAACACACTGGTTCATTTGCCTTTCAGTAGAACGATCAAAACAAGCCAAAAAAAGAACTGAGGAACTCTGTGAGGTTTTGAGGAATGCAAAAATAAAAGGGCTTTATTTTCTTTCTCTTTCCTTTCCTTCTTTTTTCTTTCTCTTTTTTTCTTTTTTGAGACACTGTTCTGCAAGATATCAGTAGGGCCAATTTAGTCAAGATAATTTGAAAGTAACTTCAAGTAAATCTCCCTTTAAAAAGTCCCACTGAAACCGCAATTCAGATTGTTTTTGTTCTCAAGAGAGAAGATATAGAATGTTTAACCCTAATGAATTACAAGTAGACGCTTCCTACTACACCTACTTGATGGATGGATGGTTGCTTTGCTTTGGTATTGCATCCGTTGACCGTGCCATCTCGGGATGCCAGTGAGCTTTGTGCTGTTAAGTGGAGATGTGCTGTGTGCATGCATAGGAGTGCAGACGTACGGTGTTTTTGCCGATTGGGGTGCAAACATGGTATGTCAGTGGCACATATGCCGTTTGAGCACTGGGGTGCACCGTGCCGTGTTGGAGTGCAAGCGTGCCATGTTGGGGTGCAGACGTACCGTACTGGAGTGCAGATGTGCTGTGTCGGGGTGCAAGCGTGCTGTGCTGGGGTGCAGATGTGCTGTAAGGTGCAAGTGTGCTGTGTCGGGGTGCAAGCGTGTTGTACTCGGGTGCAGACGTGCAGTGTTGGGGAGCATACTGCTGTGTGGGGGTGCAGACGTGCCGTGTAGTATGCAAGCGTGCTGTCCTAGGGTGCAGACGTGCTTCCGGATTAGGCGAGGAGCCGGAGGCAGGTGCCCACACCGTGAACTCTGGCTGGCAGCGGCCTCCCGCGCCCCGGCCCCGACTCGCCCGCGTCAGCACAAACACCGCGCACCGCAGGATCCGAGGAGCAGAAGGGCCGCCTCCTCCCCGCGAGAAGGTGCGCCTCCCCCCTCGGCCTAGGACGCCCGCTCTTCCCCGCCCCCAGCGCCACGGCGAGCCCCCGGCGGGCCAGAGGGAGGCGCTGCCGCGGCTCCCGACCTCCTCCTGGGGGGATTGGCTGGGCCGGGGCAGGGCCTCTTCCGCAGTGGGCGGGCGCGGCCGGGTCCCCTTCCGGGGTGGGCGTGGCGTAGCGAGATCCTCTTCCGGGTTGGGCGGGGCCCGGGAGTCCGTCCTCCTGGGTTGGGCAGGTCACGGGAGGCCCTTTCCGGGGTGGGCGGGGCCTGGGTGCCGTCTTCCGGTGGGCGGGTCCAGCGCGCGCCCCGCCCCGCGCAGGCGTGGCGAGGCCCCGAGAGGCTGGCGGGGGGGCAGGCGGGCGGGCGGGCCATGCTGCCGACGCGCCGGCCGGGTGTGGGCCCCCGGCTCCTGGGGGTCGCGCTGGGCCTGGGGGCCCCGCGGGGCCGGGCGTGGGCGGTGTCGGGGGCGCGCGGGCAGGCCTGGCTGCAGCCAGAGGGCCACGACACGGGCGTCAGGGTGTACAACAGCCTCACCCGGAGGAAGGACCCCTTGATTGTGGGCCGCGCGGACGCCGCCTCCTGGTAGCCGCCCGGGACTGGGGCGGCGGAGGACTGTGCCCCGAGCGGCTGCGGGCCCGCGGGCGCCGCGCTGAGAGGGGTCCGGGGGGGGGGGGGGAGCACCGTTGGGCAGGCGGGTGTAGTCCCGGCGACGGGCCGGCTTTGGCTACGAACCCCGCCGAGCGGCTGCCTGGCGAGCCGGGAGTGGAGCTTCCCCGCAGGCGAGCTTCACCTGGTGCGCCTTCCCTCTGTTCCCAGGTACAGCTGCGGACCGACCGTCTACGATCACGCGCACCTGGGCCACGCCTGGTGAGTGCGCTCCTTCAGTTTTCACGCTTCCGGGGCCATTTGTTTTGGACGGAGCCGTTTGCAGGCTCTGCCTGTCCCGTGGCAGCCCAAGAACACTGAGTAGCTACGGTCCGGATATTGTGGGAAGCGCCCCTGGTGTCTCAGTGGTTCTCCTGGTGAAGTCTAAGCTCTGGTGCCCGTTGCACGGGGGATCAGTGCGGCGCAGTGGTGACAACCTGCCTGGGAATTAGATGCTTCTCGGTGGATCTCGTGAGATGAGGCAGTTCCCCGGGGCAGCAGTCAGCCGTGAGAAGCTATTTCTGGCCTCTGTGTTTTATTTTTCCTTCCCAAATCTGGACCGCCCATTTTGTTGTCTGTTACCTCGAGTCCTGGTTTCGTCAGCTTTGAGATGAGGTTGAAAACGGTTTCCGTCTGTTGGAACCTTCACAGTTTGATGAAACAACACCCCTAAAGTATGGCTTACACAGCACCTGCTGGGGGTGCGGTGGGGGCCTAGCAGCTGTCGGGGGTCAAGAACTTACCCCAGGCCATGCAGTCAGGGGGCGGCAGGGCCTGGTGTGTCTGAGCTGGTGCTTACTTTCTCAACCTCTTAACCATCAGCTGCACGGCACCCCGTCTTTGTCAAGATTACACTTTTCCTAAAGACTTTATTTATTTGGGAGAGAGTGAAAAGAAGAAACAGACTCCTGGCTGAGCTGGGAGCCCACATGGGCTGGATCCCAGAACACTGAGATCATGACCTAGTGAAGGCAGACACTTCATCAGCAGAGCCCCCAGGAGCCTGTCTTATTCACTTTTTAGACTTGTTATGTCTCAGACTAAAAAAAGCTACATTGATTTGCTGCACCTTTTACAAAATCATATACCGGGCAGGAAGGCTGGTGTGTTAGTTGTGTTTTGTTAAAACAGAATCAGTGGCTAACTTACCATTGATTTTTTTTTTTTAAATTTTTATTTATTTATTTTTAATTTTTTTTTTTTTTTAATTTATGATAGTCACAGAGAGAGAGAGAGAGAGGCAGAGACATAGGCAGAGGGAGAAGCAGGCTCCATGCACCAGGAGCCCGACGTGGGATTCGATCCCGGGTCTCCAGGATCGCGCCCTGGGCCAAAGGCGGGCGCCAAACCGCTGCGCCACCCAGGGATCCCCACCATTGATTTTTAAAAGGATCTTTTGACCTCTCTATTGAAGTATGGAATATGTTGGGGAAGGATCACAAAGACAGAATGAAATCAGGCTCTTTTATAGAGCCAAGTAGATACAGTTTCTGAGATCAGATGGGGTTTGCACCATGCAGTCAGGTGACGTGTCAGGCCCACCCTCCGTTAAGAGATGGAGCATCATGACCTTCCTGATGGCTTCACTTCAAAAAGGTGGCTCTCAGGTCCTTGAGACTTGGACTTTACAAGATATTTCCTTAGCCATTAAAACCATTTACGGGACGCCTGTGTGGCTCAGTTTTTGAGCATCTGCCTTTGGCTTGTGTCATGATCCTGGGGTCCTGGGATCCTAAAGACATCGCGACAGTTCTGGAAGTCTGTACCAATTTCCCGTCCAAGTTCACGTCCCCCCACTCTCCTCCCCCAGGTAACCACGCTGGCCTCTATTTTAAAAAGACAGGTACTTGGGGCACTTGGCTGGCTCAGTGGGTAGAGCATGAGACTCAGCCTCGGGGTCATGAGTTCACGCCCCACCCTGGCCATAGAGCTTACCTTAAAAAAAAAAAAAAAAAAAAAAAAAGACACGTAGTTAACAGACACAGCACGACGAGCAGTATGCCAGGCTCTTTTCTAAATGCTTTACAAACACTAGCCAGTGTGGTTCTGACACCGGGGCGGAGGGGTGTTGCTAATGTCACTCAGGGTCAGATGGGGACCTTGCCGGTCATGTGTGTGGGGAGTGGTCCCTGGGGGGGGGGGGCAGATGAAGGACGCTGATGACCGTGGTGACAACAGCCCCTGCCTCTAGGATGTCCTGCTGTGTAAGCGCCAGGATCATGGTAAGCCACCCCATGGCCTCCTGGGATTCTGCCCGATTTATAAATAAGCAGCCCGAGGCTTCCGTGATTAAATATCTTGGCAAGGAGTTTCTGAGCAACCTCGCTTGGTCAGTAGCGCTGTGCTCGGGGAAGGGGAATGTGGGAAGCAGGCGGGGTGCAACGATGGGCTAGTGTTCCACCTGTGAGGCTGGGTGGGTGACAGATGAGCATGAGATTAGCTGACCTTGAGTTCTAAGGCTGCTTTTATGGGAAACCAGATTCTTGATGTTTTAAATGCTCTGGAGCCCTTTTGGTTTTACACAACTGAGCACCCCAAGTGTGGCCTACCCGTAAGCTGGTATTTTAATTTCCCACGACGGTGTGTGCGTTTCTCAGGAGTAATGCCACACAATTCTCACGGCCTCGTCCTTGGTTTGCTGCACCTTCTGTTCTGCCATAGTGAAGCATTCCAGTTGTTCTAGATATTCTAGAAATGAACAAGGACGGTAAAAGCTCTCAGTACTTTAATTACCTCGTGGGAGTGTATTACCAGTGAACTGTTATACCATTAAGTGGGTGTCAACTCACTTAACAGCTGCAGCATGAAACATGCCAACCGTGTGCCTGACATCGCGGTGATGCCTGTGTTGATTTCTTGTGAGGATCTGTGTGGGCCAGTGGGGGGAAGGCTTGTCCTCTTCCTAGCGGCACGGAACCCGTCAGTCCCATCACACACCCGAAGTGCGGAGTAGCCTGTTACAATGCAAAGCGTTCCTTTTTTTTTCTTTTTTTTAAGAAGTTTATTTTTATTATTTTTTAAGATTTTATTTATTCATGAGAGACACACACACACACAGAGAGAGAGAGGCAGAGACACAGGCAGAGGGAGAAGCAGGCTCCATGCAGGGAGCCTGATGTGGGACTTGATCCCGAGATTCCAGGACCATGCCCTGGGCCGAAGGCAGGCACCATACCGCTGAGCCATCCAGGGATCCCCCAAAGCGTTCCTTTTTAAAGATCCCAGTGGTGACTTTGTGCATTCAAGACATCCTGACACCTCTTTCCTTTCAGCTCATATGTTAGGTTTGATATCATCCGGAGGATCCTCACCAGGGTTTTTGGATACAACGTCATCATGGTGATGGGAATCACAGATGTGGACGATAAAATTATTCACAGAGCCTCTGAGGTAAGCTCAGACAATGATGTTGGCCAGTAACTGGACGGATGAACATGACAGTCCCAATAGCTGCTCCACAGGGTGTTCCGCATCTCTGCATCCACACGTAGCCCAGCGAGGCCACTCTGTCAGGTTATCACGGGACTCTCTGCCCTGGGAAAGGAGGCCTGTTGGATTCTGGTCACCAAATGGGTCCTCTCCCCCTGCCCTGGTGTCCTGCCCTGAACCCTGTCCCTTCTCTCGCCCCGCGGCCTCCAGCGGCTAAGTCCCGCTTTCAGACCAGGGAAACAGCTCATGGAGGTTCAACTTTCTTGTTGGTTGAGTGCACAGGACACTTCTCTTATAATCCTTCAGTATTTAAGGTAAGCTTTGGGGGAAAGTTTTAACTGAGAAGTTAAGTATTACAGTTTTTAAGAAGTCTACTTTCTGGTTTTCATAATTGGCAACTTTAACAGTGATCTCTAAACCTCTGTATGTTACTGGTAGATGATCTAATCTATGCAAAAACCTACACCAAGTGCTTTACATTCCTGTTATTTTAGAAGATGTATCTACTAGAAACTGTGTATACTATTTTTTAGGAAACCAGTCTATACTTTATAGTCTGCTTTTTCCGCTTAATGTATTTTGAGTATTTTTTCATGTTTTTAAATACTCTTGACCATTTTTATATATTTATTTTAAGGATTTATTTATGTATTTATTCATGAGACACACAGAGAGAGAGGCAGAGACCTAGGCAGGGGGAGAAGCAGGCTCCCTGCAGGGAGCCCAACGCAGAACTCAATACTAGGACCCTGGGATCAGGATCTGAGCTGAAGACAGATGCTCAACCACTGAGCCACCTAGTTGCCCCTTGACCATTTTTAAATAGTTGTATAGCATTTTATTGCATGGAGATACTCTAATTTACTGTTCTTATTTTTGGACTCTTGAGTTACTTCTATATTCTACTTTTTCTCAAACTATTTTCTAGCAACCACATCTCCCTATTTTCTATCAGTGTGCCTTCTTTTTTTTTTTTAAGTTTTATTTAAGTAGTCTCTGCCCCTGACCTGGGGCTTGAACTCACAAGCCTGAGATCAAGAGTTGCACGCTCCCCACGCCCCCAGACCCGAGCCCACAGGCACCCCCTAATTTGCCTTTTAAACAACTAGACAGTGTTCACTCCGGGTGCTGTTCAGCAGTTCCCCGTCATTGGCTGTGGTGTTTATAGCTGTTAAAAACAGGGCTGCTGGGACACCTGGGTGGCTCAGCAGTTGAGTGTCTGCCTTCGGCCCAGGGCGTGACCCTGGAGTCCTGGGATCTAGTCCCACATTGGGCTCCCCACAGGGAGCCTGCTTCTCCCTCTACCTGTGCCTCTGCCTCTCTCTGTGTCTCTCATGAATACATAAATAAAATCTTAAAAACAAAAAACAGGGCTGCGTGAATATCTTTTCTTTCACTAGATATGTTTCCTAAAGTGGAGTTACTGGATCCAGGAGGAATGGTTTATTTGATAAGGTTTTTCTTCTTAGAGTTGGGGTGGTTTAGAGAGTGTTTACTGGCGGTGCTGAGATGGGCTGGAGCCCATCTTTAGATGTTACCCTCATGTCCTCAGCCTGGTTGGGCTTCCCGGGTTTGTCTTGTTTGGGTACCTTAGCCAGTGCGTCATGCTCCCTTACAGGAGATTCAGTTTCCATTTCCAGAACTGTCCAGGGTCAGGCCTGTGCCTGGCTTTGTGCTGACAAAGGTGGGGAAGCCAGGTCCTGGCTCATGGAACTTGTGTCAGGTGAGGCAGATGAACCCACAGAGGGATGCTCTGTGTGCGACGTTCATTTTACAAGTCCAGGTAAAGGGGCCAGGGAAGACCATCACAGCTCCCTGGGAGTCACCCAAGTGACTCACTGGAAGAGGTTAGTCCAGGATCAAGCATTAGCAGAGGGTGGGTGGTGAGGAGTGAGGGCAGGAAGGACATCTGGGCAGAGGGGTGTGCGAGAACGGGCCAAGACCTGCATGAAGGGCTGTGTGGGAACCTGTGGTCCTGCTCCCATGGGCCATAGGGGGGACTTGCAGTTGAGGTTGGAAAGGTGGGGGCGGCTGGGCCCAGGGGATGTACTGGGAACTTGGACTTGGTCCTGTAGACTCTTGGGTTGCTCTTGGTCCAGTGGAGACCACTCACTCTGGGGTGGGGAGGACATAGCCAGAGATGGGCCCATTGGCGGGGTTGGTGGGAGCTCTGCCGCAGGAGAGGGGTGTCCCAGAGAGCAGATTTAGAGTGAGGTACCTAAAGAAACGCAAACTTGGATACAGAAATTTGAAGCTCAGTCAGCTCAAGGCTTTGGTCTAATAAAGATATGGGTGGACTTTGTCCTAGTTCCTGGCACAGAGCGCCTAAAATCCATTGAATCTGTGGAGTGAGAGAGTGTCTTTGTTTGCTCATGAGATCATGGTTGGGCCCCTCGAGAGCTTCAGGACAGAGGCTGGGGTCCCAGAGACCGAGCCACAGAGAGTGCTGAGAACTTTCACCCCCACTCCTGCCTTGAGCTGATCACCGGTGGCCAGTGATTAATCAATTTTCCTATATACCGAAGCCTCTATAAACACCCCCGAGGGACGCCTGGGTGGCTCAGTGGTTGGGCGTCTGCCTTTGGCCCAGGGCATGATCCTGAGTCACGGGATCGAGTCCTGCATCGGGCTCCCTGCGTGGAGCCTGCTTCTCCTTCTCCATCTGGCTGTGTCTCTGCCTCTGTCTCTCTCTGCGTCTCTCCCTAATAGATAAATAAAATCTTTAAAAAACAAAACAAAGACAAAACAAAAAAACACCCTTGAAATGGGGGAGAGGGGCTCGGCACTTCAGGCTGATGAACACGGGTGGAGCTGGGGGGGTGGCGCTGGAGGGAGTCTGGGAGCTCCAGCCCTTGTCCCATGCTGCCCCTGAGCTGTGTCTTTTATGATAAACCGAGAATGGTTTGGAGTAAGTGGAGTGCTTTCCTGAGTTCTGTGATTCATATCAAACCCCCAACTTTAGACTCTGTGGCAGAAGTTTGGGTGGCCCAAGGACCCCATGCGCCTGGCGTCTTAAGGGGGCAGTCCCATGGTGTCTGTGCTGACCCGGGGAGTTAGTGTCAGGAGAGGGCTGAATGGTGGGACATCCAGCTGCAGGTGGACAGCCCAAGTGGCTGGAGGTGGGAAAGGCACGTTTGGTGTCAGAAGACGCCATAGGCCGAAAGTGAAGGGTGGGCAGGCCAGGCTTGGGGTTCATCACCGTCCCTGGTGCTCTCTCTCTGCCCCTGGGGTCAGGTGTCCCCTTGGTCCAGCCAAGGCCCTGGGGCCCAGGTGAGCCATTCCTTTGTGGGGAGTGCAGGTAAGGGGCAGAGATGGGAGGGGACAGCCGGGAGGCAGAGCGAGGAGCGAGGGGCTCCCACTGCTGGCACCAGATGGCCAACCCCACAGTACCCTGTGTGCAGAGTGTGGGGGGCAAGGAGGCTGAGCTTGGGGGGTGTCTGTCCTGGGCTGTCTGACTTCAGTTTGTGCTCAGCCACTCGCCGGGGACACAGCCTTTGGATTGTAGAGTGAAGCTTTTGAGCAAACAGGAGGAGGAAAGGAGCATTGTCTGGTCCACCGGTAGGTCAGACCGGGGAGGGGTGGGGGCACGGAGCCGTGCTGTTCTCTGGGATGTGCTGGAACGGTCCCTGAAGGAGCTAAGGAGGGGGCCCAGGGCCTTTGCTGGGAAGGCTGAGCCCAGAGGTGCTGAGCATCCAGGGTCAGGAAGGCCTGCTGGGAGGGCGGGGAGCTGGTAGTAAGAAATCTGTGGTCTGTGGCAAATGTCTGATCTGCCCTCACTCAGGACCAAGACAGCACGTGTGGGTCTCTGCACTTGATGAACTGGGCTCTGTTGTGAATCTTCAGAACTGGAGGTGAAAGTGCCCCTGAAAGGCCTGGTAGGGGGTGGGGGGAAAGGAAAGGGAAAAGGAAAAGGAAAAGGGCTGAGGGGCTCAGATGAGGGGCGGGCAGGGTTGTGGAGGACATCTGGGGGGGGAGGGGCAGGCTTTAGGAGGAGGGGCGGCAGCACCAGGTGAAGGCAGCAGGAAGGAGGTTACTTAGAGGATTTCACAAATGCCACAGGAGGTGTCGCTTGTTACTTTTGTGAGTTGTATTATCCATAGCCTATGGGTAGGTTCACTTAAAAATTATGTATAGAGCATTTAATTTTTGATGCCTGGAGATTTCTCTCTGTGTCAGATACTAATGCGGCACTGAATAGCTTTTCTCAAGATAATGTCTCTAAGATGATAAAACGTGTCTGAAACAGGGTTATGAAAACATCTACTGGTTCTTTAGTATCTGGCAAAAAGGCTATTTTTTATCTAATGCAACTTTTTATTTTTTTTAATTTTTTTATTTATTTATTTTTTTTTATTTATGATAGTCACAGAGAGAGAGAGAGGCAGAGACACAGGCAGAGGGAGAAGCAGGCTCCATGCACCGGGAGCCCGATGTGGGATTTGATCCCGGGTCTCCAGGATCGCGCCCTGGGCCAAAGGCAGGCGTCAAACCGCTGCGCCACCCAGGGATCCCCTAATGCAGCTTTTTAAAGTGATGGCGATACTCTTCACACCATCTGCTCCAGCACTCACTTTTACAATATTTGAAATTACAATATTACACTTTCCTGAATCTCTTCCTTGACTTTAATTTTTGGTGCAGTGTTCAGGTTTGTAGGGGTAAAAACCACAGGAGGATTTCTGGGGCGAGAGCTACAAGAGGAGCGGTACACTGGCGTTGGCACATCTGTAGGAGAAATTGGAACGAATGTGTCAGAGTGACTCAGGCCAAAGGTATTCTTTCTGGGTTTTGGGACACTAGCCCCTATTGCCCTTCTTTGCGGGAAGACGCCTGGACACAGGCTGAGACGTGGGGCCTTGCTCAGGGCCCCAGCTTGAGACGGTTCATGACAGTCATGGCGAGCTGGGCGGTAACCTGAAATCTACCGCCGAGACTGCCTGTCGGCACCTGCCGTGTGCAGTTTGTTTTTTGGGGAGTGAGAGCAGTGCTGTCCAGATACGTGGTGTGACCAGCTGCCCAAAGATTAAATTTGAAAACTTTCTTTTAAAACACAATTCCACTCCTCTGTGCAAGGCCAGCAATAGACTGGTGTCCCACTTACAGTTCACCACCGCTTAGCGTTTCCGAACTGTGCCCCTCAGGCTCATGCGTGTGAGCTGGAGGAGCCACAGGTGGAGCAGGGCTTGCTGGCTTGGGCTGTGTGGTGTCGGACGGGTCATTCAAAGGAGCGCGTGTGTGTGGGGTGTGTGTTTGTGTGTGTGTGTGTGTCCTTACAACCACCCCGCCCTTTCAGAACTAGACACATGGATTTTAACGTTGCTGTGGGGCCAGGAGAAGTCTGTGAAGGAAGCGTGTTAAGGAGGGTGTAGTCCTGCCTAATATTAAAACACTTTTAGGGATGCCTGGATGGCTCAGTGGTTGAGCGTCTGCCTTTTGCTCCAGGTGTGATCCGGGATCGAGTACCACATTGGGCTCCCTGCATGGAGCCTGCTTCTCCCTCTGCCTGTGTCTCTGCCTCTCTCTCTCCTCTCTCTCTCTCTCTCTCTCTCTCTGTCTCTCTCTGTCTCATGAATAAATAAATAAAATCTTTAAAAAAATAAAACACTTTTGAAGCGGGGCACCTGGGTGGCTCAGTCGGTGAAGCATCTGCCTTCAGCTCAGGTCATGATGTCAGGGTCCTGGGATCGAGCCCTGCATCAGGCTCCTTGCTCAGTGGGAGTCTGCTTCTCCCTCTGCCCCTCCCCACCTTGCTTATGCGCTCTCTCTCTCTCTCTCTCTCTCTCTCTCTCTCAAATAAATAAATAAATCTTTAAAAACATACACAAAAACCCAAAAAACACTTCTAAAGCTAGAGACAATTTTTTACTTTCACATATTCCTTCCTTTTTGGGGCACAGCTTTGAGGTCAAACAGACCTACAATAAATTGCGTGGAGTACACACGAGATGTACAGCGGGATGAAACCTGTGCACCTGTGAGCCCATCACCAGTGTCAGGGTGAACATCTCTGTCCATCGCTCCCAGAAGCTGCCTCTGCCCCTTGTCATCCTTCCTGCTTTGCCATCCTGTCCCCAAGCATTCACCAGTGTGCTTTTGTCACTGTGAAGGTTGTAGACATTTTTTATTTTTTTACTTTTTAAAAGATTTTATTTATTTGACAGAGTGAGCACAAGCAGGGGGAGTGGCAGGCAGAGGGAGAGGGAGAAGCAGGCTCCCTGCAGAGCAGGGGACCCCATGGGGGGCTCCATGTGGAGCTTGATCCTAGGACCCCGGGATCATAACCTCAGTTTGACCTCATCCGAAGGCAGATACTTAACCGACTGAGCCACCCAGCAGCCCCAAGGTTGTAGAAGTTAAATATCATTGTACAGGTACATTGTACAGATACCATGAGCAGACAGATAAGGGGACACATTGGAAAGTTGGAAATAGACATGGTAAATAATGGAAATTCGTTTGTGATAAAGGTGGCATTTCAAATCAGTGGAGAAGAGAAGAATTATCTGGTAAAAAAAGTGTTGACAGGTAAGCATCTGGGGAAAAAAAATAAACTCAGGTTGGATGTGTGCCTCACATCCAGATCGAGGAAGATTGGAGTCTAATGTGAAAGAAATGGAACTACGAATTACTAAAATGCCCTATTTATAGCCTCATATTGGGGAACACTCTCCTAAATCTGTCTCAAACCCAGGAGCCATTTGTGGGAAAAGATTGAGAAATACAAAGGATGGCTAAATATAGAAGTGACATTTTCTGTGTGACATAAAATAACCACAGGGTTGAAAGACTGAAGATTATTGAAATTCATATTAGAGATAAAAGGTTAATTTCTTTCATGTAAAAACACTTCCTACAAATGAACAAGAAGAGTGACATAAGCCAGTGGAGAAATGGGTATGGTGATTATAGATCATTTAGCATAAGCGGCTCCCGAACACGAGATGTTCAGAGTACATGTTACTTACAGCGAGAAGGCATTTGCTAGCAGTCATGTTGCTGAAGTCCCCAAATATGCCCCTTGTGCATTCAGGGCTCGCTCAGGTTTCAGACCTGTGCACCCTCCGTGGGGCCAGGAGACATTTTTTATTTTTTGCGTGCACCTGCCCCCCAACCAGCAGTCTGGTGTCTGGGTCTGTAGCTTAGAAGTGAACCTGCAGGTGTCCCAGCAGAAGAGGGTGTGAGGAGGGGACCTGAGGAGCTAGCAGCTCCAAGTGCACGGCCAGGGTGGGATGGTGGTGGTAGCAGAGAGAGGGAGCTGGGTGCAGGCGGTGTGTGCAAGGTGCTACAGTTTCCAGGAGGGGATGCAGACATGTGTCTGGGAGCCCGGTTGTCTTTCCCAGATGTGCACAGAATCCTTGTAGCAATCTTGGGGGTTGTTAGGTGGGATCATCTCTGTGTTGGAAAGAAAGCCAAAGGCTGGGACGCCTGGGTGGCTCAGTGGTTGAGCATTTGCCTTTGGCTCAGGTCGTGATCCCGGGGTCCTGATATCAGTCCCACATCAGGTTCCCCGCAGGGAGCCTGCTTCTGCCTCTGCCTGTGTCTCTGCCTCTCTCTGTGTCTCTCATGAATAAATAAATAAAATCTTAAAAAAAAAAAAAGCTGAAGGCACAGAAGTTCATTGCCTTGGCCACAGCCACACAGCTGAAAAGTCACTTTGCTCACCAGATTTATTTATTCAGTAAATGTTTGGTGGTTGAAGTTTCTAGGATGATTGCCTTTCTGGGGCATCGGGCAGGGAAGAACGTGGCTGCAGAGTGACAGGGCTGGAGGTGGCATCTCACTTGAGAAAGTTTCTTGCGGTCCTGGAGCTGCAGTGTGTTCGGCAGGACGCGGAGCCCTGGTAGGGGCCGGAGGAGCAAGAGCTGCAGATGCTGGTTGAGGGGGGGAGCGGCTTCTGGTCCTTTCATACTTTTGGTCTTAGAGCTTTTTTTTCTGCTGAAAAGTAAAAAATGCTTCAGGAAGCCCAGTTCTGTGTGCCAGTGCCTTCGGAGCCCTTGGGACTGGAGGGCCGTGCCCCTGAATGCCCTGCTCTCAGAAATTGAGAATCTGTTTGTCTATGGGGTTTGCCTGTACTTCTTGCACCCCTACCAGCCCGGCCACCCACCTGCTGCCCCTCCCCCCAGCCTGGCCACCCCCCATTGCTACCGTGTCCCCTCCTCCTAGCCACTGGCCTGCTGCTCCCCCTGCCACCCCTCAGCCTGGCCACCTGCCCACTGCCCCTAGCCACCCCCCAGCCCGGCCACCCGCCTGCTGCCCCCTGCCACCCCCCAGCCCAGCCACCCCCCGCTGCCACCATGTCCCCTCCTCCCTGCTACCGGCCCACTGTTCCCCCTGCCACCCCCCTAGCCTGGCCACCCGCCTGCTGCCCCCAGCCACCCTCCAGCCCGGCCACCCCTCGCTGCCACCATGTCCTCTCCCAGCCACCAGCCCGCTGCTCCCCCTGCCACCCCCTAGCTCAGCCACTGGCCTGCTCCCCCTGCCACCACCCAGCCCAGCTACTTGTCCATTGCCCCCTGCCACCCCCCACCCCGGCCACCCCCCACTGCCACCATGTCCCCTCCTTCCAGCCACTGGCCCACTGCTCCGCCAGCCACCACCAGCCCGGCCACCCGCCTGCTGCCCTGTGTTCAGGTGCTCTGTTGCTTTCAAAACACTTCTTAGAGAGTTTCTCTTTCATGTATTTTTGATGTGTTTTCTTGCTCCCCAAGGCATAAGGGATAAGATAGAAACTCAAGTTTCTGGTTATTACGTAGAATAGATTAATCAAACTTGCCCTTGCCCTAGAAAAGTGGAAGCTTTTTTGTGTGTTTTGGGGTTTTGTTTTGAATTATGTAACAGAAATCATGATATTGTTTATTCCTGTTTTCTCTCTGACCAGAGGACGGGGTGACTTTGTGACTAGGTGAGATACTAGAAGGAGTTTGGGACCTAAAACCAAGGCCCCTTTGGGAGCACACAGGGCCCATGGAGGCCAGCCGCAGGGGTGGGGAGCCCAACCTGCTGACCAGCCCGCCTCGTCTCTCTGCAGATGAACATGTCACCTGCTTCTCTCGCCAACCTCTATGAAGAGGAATTTAAACAAGACATGGCAGCCTTGAAGGTAGCGTGTGTTGTGGCATCTGCCTGTCGCGAGTGGGGAGAGTGAGCAGTGGGAGCCCTGTGGCTGACCAGTGTGTCTCACCCAGGGATCGTCGTTTCTCTTTTGCTTCCTGCCAGGTCCTGCCGCCCACGGTGTACGTGAGGGTAACTGAAACCATCCCCCAGATCATTTCTTTCATCGAGGGCATCATTGCTAATGGGCACGCTTATTCAACAGCACAAGGTAGGGGTTGTGCTATTGAAATGGATCATTGGGTGAATACCCATTGGATTTTGAGAAAGTAGACGCGATTTATTGTCTTAACTGATTTGCTGTGTCCCCAAATGCACCTGGGCCTCCCTGCCTCCCCCTGCGTGGAGCTGCCCCTCCGGCCTCCGCTACCCCCTGCTGACCCCTGGCCGTGCTTGATCGTGTCCTTCTGACAGACTCCTGCCCACTGTCCGCTGCCCCAGGGCTCACCGTCACCCTCAGCCTCACCTCCCCCTTCCAGCCCTTCTTGACCCAAATCCCACACATCCTGTGCACCTGACCAGAGCTGTCTCCCTCCCAGGATATCTCTTCTTGCAGACCTCCACCCCCACTCTGGCACCTGTGCTGTGCCCACTGGTTGCCCGGCATTGTCTGCCTCAGCGTGCCATTAACACACTCATATTTTGTCACTTCTGGGATCAGAAAAACTTTTGCTTCTAGTGACCCACTTGCATGCCTAGCCCAGAGCTGGGACATGTGGGTCTTGCAATGTTCATTGCAAGTAAATAACAAAGTATAAAGCATAACACTAGACACAGTTTCTGCAGGTTCTGTAAGAACCCTTCTTACAGCGGTCCTACCTGCAAGCACCGATACACACGCAGGGCCCCTGGGGCCCCAGACACGGGTGCTGCCTGTCTCAATTACTGATGCTTACATCAGAACAGTGTTTTTACTTTACCTCATTTGCTATATTGAGATTTTGTCTCCAAGAAAAACTTGTTTTTAAGGGGCTTGGGTGACTGAACCTGAGTTTGCCCCGGAAAATACAGACATAGTCTTCCCACTGCTGCAAAACATGACTTGGGACAAGCAGCCCAGAGGAGCAGAGGTCCAAACGTGCCTTAGCAAGAGATGCTGCTTGTTTTATCACTTTATTACAAAGCCTTATTGTACGTTTTTAATAACGATAGCGTTATTAAAATAATAATAAAATAATTAAAATAAGATGCCATTAACTCAGACTCCATTAATTTGGACTTTGTGACAATTCCACAAAAACTTGGTTGTAATTTGAATTTTGAACCTTTATGAAGAACTGTTTGTTCAGCAAATTGATAACAAGAAATGTGTCCTCCGTGAAAGAGCAGTTTCTTACAAAGCCTTGTCGGAGTGCTGTTTGTGTTCTGGCTTCCTGGATAGCCGCTCGCACTGCAGCCCCCTGGCTCGTCCCCAGCATTGTTGGAGCTTGGGTGTAGGCTCTGGGTGACCCACCTGGGGACTGACCCACCTGGGGTCCTTGTGCCGAGCTGCTCCCCACCACCCCCGGTTCAGGATAGAGATCTGATGGTGTGGCTGCGGGACACAGCCCCCTGGGGCTACCACTCCTCCGTCCTCTGCTCGGGTGTGGAGGTGTTTGGGATCTAAGTAGACATATCCGGGTTATGACAGGGTTCCCCTGGTAGCAGGTGCATCGCGAAAAGCTGGGAGCTTAATGCACGCCTGTGGTGACACTCACTCTTCCTTCTCACTAAAAAACCATCTGAACATTTGACACCAGATCTTACATTTGGGTTTTCATTTCCACCTCTGGACATTTCATGACGTGTCCAAACGTGTGCTGGTGTTTGTTCTGATCTGGGGCCAGAATAAAGGGGCCACATGAAGGCCAGATGCTGTATTACTTGTTACTAATATGCTAATTACTTGTTAGTTAATATGCCTAGATAGATGCTGATATTTAAGACTGAGAAATGATGAATTCTTTTTTTAAGATTTTCAATAATTGTTCATATTCTTTTTTGAACTGATTTTTCTTTTTTATTATTTAAATTTTACTTAGTTAACATATAGTGCAATGTTGGTTTCTGGATAGAATTCAGTGATGCAGAGAAATGATGGAATCTCAATTACCTTTGTAAAATAGGCAATGTCTACTTCGATCTGCAGTCGAGAGGAGACAAGTACGGCAAGCTAGTTGGTGTGGTCCCCGGTCCACTTGGAGAGCCAGGTGGGTGGACCCCAGCCTCCCACTTCGGGCACAGGGGTGTGGGGCACAGGCCTGGCCCTCCCTCCTCCCTCTCAGATGTGGTGCTGGCGCCAGACCATCCGTCCCTGCTGTGTTTTAAATTTAATTCATTGTTTCCAAGAAAGGAAATTTAGAGAGTGTGAGGTTCACTGGGCAGGTTGTGAGAGCCCTCTGGCTCTTCTCCCTGGAAGGCACGTTTGCCCGTCCGTGGGCTTCCCGCAGGAACACTCATCATGCTGTCATATTTTCATGCTCTTCTCCATCTGCTATCATACTCGGTTCCATATATATATTGCCATATATCAAATCCCAGTAGGTATTTTATCATATATCACATTCTCGGGAATATTTTAATTTATCCTCACACTGTTCCAGTGATTATTGATTGGCGTTATTTTTATGGAGAAGAAATACATGTGTAGAAGTAAATTTAAAATAATTTTAGAAGGATACTATTTAAGAGAACCAAATAAAGACAAGCAAAACCCAAAAGACAAATTGTCCAAGTAATTTTTGACTGTAGTCATTATCCTGTGCTCTACAAACTATACCATTTACATTTAATTGCTAACAGTAGTATTTGACTCCTCAGAAATGGTGTCTGTTACTCTTACTCAATGCATGTCTGGCTCCCCTCCTGAAAGGCCAGAACCGAGAACCGCTAGACCGCCCACATGCCAGCGTGCCCTGGGGAAGCAGAGGATGTGTTTCTGAGACACGTTTCTAGCATCAGCAATGCTTCTGTGTTTAGTGTTCCCCTGGGCGGCCAAATCGGTTAATCAGCCGACTCTTGGTTTTGGTTCAGGTCTGCTCTCAGGTTTGTGGGATTGAGTCCCATGTGGGGCTCCACGCTCAGCAGGAAGTTTGCTTGGGGTTCTTTCTCTACTCTATTTCTCTCTCCCCCTCTGCCCCTTCCCTCCACCTTCCCTCTCTCAAATAAATAAATCTTTAAAAAGAATTAGTCTTTATTTTAGGGCGCTTTTAGGTTCATAGCAAAATTGAAGGAAAGGAACAGAGATTTTCCACGTTCCCCTGATGCTACTCAGGCACAGCTTTCCCTGTATGAATGTCACCTGCCAGAATAGGATGCTTGCCCCAGTGGATGAACCTGTCTGGACACATAATTACGCCGAGCCATGGTTTATATCAGGGTTCACTCTTGGTGTATATTCTGTGGGTTGGATAAATGTGTAATGACACATGTCCACTACGATAGTGTCCCATGGTCACTTCACTGCCCTCAGACATGCCCTGTGTTTCAGCTGCCCATCCTCCCTCACTCCCTCCTAACCCGTGGCAACCAGTGATCTCTTACTGTCTGCATAGTTTTGCCTTTTCTAGAATGCTGTAAAGTTAGAACCATATAGTACATGGCCTTTTCAGACGGGCTTTTTTCACTTAATATGCATTTCAGTGAAAATGTGCATTTAAGCCCCCAGTTCCCACCAGGACCTGGGCAAGGACAGAGCCCCTTGGGGACGGAACTCAGCCATCTTCTGTGTCTCTTCATGGCTTGATAGCTCATTTGTTTTTAGTGCTGAAGAGCATTCCCTTGTCTGGATACAGAATGGTTTGTTTACCCACTCACCTGTCGGAGGGCATCTTGGCTGTTTCAGGTGTTGGAACAGAGAGCCCAATACTGGCTTGTACACCCGTATCCTGTCACCCTGCCCTCTTCTTCCAAGGTTTCTTGCTCTAGTGTGATTGGTATTCTGGTAACTCTTTTTATCCCTATAATTGTCTTTTTGGGGGGAGAAGTTACTCAAACTCATTTGCTGGCACACAGCTTTCTCACGAGAAGAATGAGGAAGGAGGAAGGCAGATAGCTCAGCTCAGTGCATCCCTGGGAAGAGGCATCAGTGATTGCTATTCGAAATCTCCACTGCAGCAGTGAGACCGCATACTCCAGCATGTCATTGACATGTGACAGTGTGGGGTGGTCCTTCCAGCTGACATGTGGGGAAATGAGACACATCTGAGGCCACCTATAGGAAGCAGCAGCATCTTTGAGATGTTGTGGGCACGCTGTGTGGGTTTGCCTTAGATCCTCGCCCTGATCGATCGTTTGTTGTTGGCAGTTGATTCCGACAAGCGGCATGCCAGTGACTTTGCCCTGTGGAAGGCAGCCAAACCCCGGGAGGTGTTCTGGGCCTCTCCTTGGGGAAACGGAAGACCTGGCTGGCACATAGAATGTTCCACCATCTCAAGGTAAGGTTTTTTGTGTAAGCTCACGCAGTGCCCGACTTGGCCAGCAGAGGGGGCGGTGTGAGCCGTGGTGATGAGGCAGAGGGTTGGGAGGAAGGCTCCAGGCTCCCTAGGGACCAGATGCTTTCCAACCTGCTCACCTTCCTCACATCAGTGCCTGTCCTTTTTAGTAGAAAAGCTTGCTTTATAGTTCAGTGCTTGACTTCCAGTCTCACTGGGGACAGGTCCAGGTGTGCCTTCGGCTTTCCTCTGTGGTGGGTATAGGGTGGGACCCCTCTGGGACAAGGTGCTGGACCACCTTCCTCTTTTTCTCTTGTTTTTCATCAAAGTTTCTTATTTTACTTGCAGTAGTAGTTAACATACAGTTTTATGTTACTTTCAGGTGTACCGTATAGTGATTCAGCAACTCTGTACATTACTCAGTGCCTATCAAGCCTGTCCCCTCCATCCTCCCCATCCCTAATTACCCCCAGCCCCCAGCCCTCTCCCCTCTGGTGACTTCAGGGTGTTCTCTGTAGGTAAGAGTCTCTGTCTTCATTTGTCTTTCTCGTTTCCTTTTTTTTTTTTTTTTAAAGATTTTATTTATTTATTCATGAGAGACACTCAGAGAGAGAGAGAGAGAGAGAAGCAGAGATACGGGCAGAAGGAGAAGCAGGCTCCCTGTAGGGAGCCTGACGTGGGACTCGATCCTGGGTCTCCAGGATCACACCCTGGGCTGAAGGCAGCGCTAAACCACTGTGCCACCGGGGCTGCCCCTTTGTTTGCTTTATTTCTTAACTTCCTCATAGGAGTGAAATCTCATGGTATTTGTCTTTGTCTTACTGACTTATTTTGGTTAACATTATACACTAGCTCCATCCATGTTGTTGCAAATGGCAAGATTTCTTTCATATTTAAGGCTGAATACTATTCCACTGTATATATACAAATCTTCTTTATCCATCCATCTATCGATGGACAGTTGGGTTGCTTCCATATCTTGGCTATTGTAAATAATGCTGCAGTAAATAGGGTACACATATCCCTCTGAATTAGTGTTTTTGTATTGTTTGGGTAAATACCCAAAAGTGTAATTGCTGGATCATAGGGTAGTTCTATTTTTAACTTTTTGAGGACTTCCATACTGTTTTCTACAGTGACCGCACCAGCTTGCATTTCCACCAACAGTGCAGGAGGGTTCCTCTTTCTCCACATCCTCACCAACACTTGTTTCTCATGGTTTTGATTTTAGCCATTCTGACAGGTGCATTTCCCTAATGATAAATGACATTGAGCATCTTTTCATGTCTGTTGCCATCTGTATGTCTTTGGAGAAATGTCTGTTCATGTCTTCTGCCTATTTTTTATTTTTATTTATTTATTTTTACTTTTAATTTTTTTCTCTCCTTTCCCTTTATTCCCTTTCACTAATTTTTATATTCCTCAAATGAATGAGACCATATAATGTTTGTTCTTTTCTTTTTTCTTTTTTTTTTAAGATTTATTTATTCATGAGAGACACACAGAGAGAGGCAGAGACACAGGCAGAGAGAGAAGCAGGTTCCTTGCAGGGAGCCTGATGTGGGACGCGATCCCCGGACCCGGGATCACGCCCTGAGCCAAAGGCAGATGCTCAACTGCTGAGCCACCCAGGAGTCCCTGTTTGTCCTTCTCTGATTGACTTATTTCACTCAGCATAATACCCTCCAGTTCCATCCACATTGAAGCAAATGGTGGGTATTTGTCGTTTCTAATGGCTGAGTAATATTCCATTGCATACACATACCACATCATCTTTATCCATTCATCTTTCAATGGACACCGAGGCTCCTTCCACAGTTTGGCTATTGTGGACATTGCTGCTATAAATATTGGGGTGCGGGTGTCCTGGCGTTTCACTGCATCTGTATCTTTGGGGTAAATCCCCAGCAGTGCAATTGCTGGGTCGTAGGGCAGGTCTATTTTTAACTCTTTGAGGAACCTCCACACAGTTTTCCAGAGTGGCTGCACCAGTTCACATTCCCACCAACAGTGCAAGAGGGTTCCCCTTCTCCACATCCTCTCCAACATTTGTGGTTTCCTGCCTTGTTAATTTTCCCCATTCTCACTGGTGTGAGGTGGTATCTCATTGGGGTTTTGATTTGTATTTCCCTGATGGCCAGTGATGTGCAGCATTTTCTCATGTGCTTGTTGGCCATGTCTATGTCTTCCTCTGTGAGATTTCTGTTCATGTCTTTTGCCCATTTCATGATTGGATTGTTTGTTTCTTGCAAGAAGTTGCTGTGGCCAAGTTCAAAAAGGGTGTTTCCTGTGTTCTCTAGGATTTTGATGGAATCTTGTCTCACATTTAGATCTTTCATCCATTTTGAGTTTATCTTTGTGTATGGTGCAAGAGAGTGGTCTAGTTTCATTCTTCTGCACGTGGATGTCTAATTTTCCCAGCACCATTTATTGAAGAGACTGTCTTTTTTCCAGTGGATAGTCTTTCCTGCTTTGTTGAATATTAGTTGACCATAAAGTTGAGGGTCTACTTCTGGATTTTCTATTCTGTTCCATTGATCTATGTGTCTGCCCATTTTTTAAATGGATTATTTGGTGTTGGGTTGTAACAGTTCTTTATATGTTTTGGATACTAGCCCTTTATCAAGTATGTTGTTTGCAAATATCTTCTCCCATTCAGTAGGTTATCTGTTAGTTTTGTTGCTTGTTTCCTTTGCTGCGCAGAAACTTTTTATTTTGATGAACTCCTGATAGTTGATTTTTTTTTTTGTTTTTGTTTCCCTTGCCTCAGAAGACATATCTAGAAAGATGCTGTTATATACAATGTCAGAAAAATTACTGCCTGTGTTCTCTTCGAGGATTTTGATGGATTTCTGTCACACATTAGGTCTTCAATCCATTTTGAGTTTATTTTTATGTAAGCTGTAAGAAAGTGGTCCAGTTTCATTCTTTTATGTGTTGCTGTCCAGTTTTCCCAACACCATTTGTTGAAGAGACTTTTTCCCAATGGATATTCCTTCCTGCTTTGTCAAAGATTGGCCATATAATTGTGGGTTTATTTTTAGGTTTTCCATTCTGTTCTGTTGATATATGGTGTCTATTTGTGCCAGTACCATACTGTTTTGATTACTATGAATATTATAACTTGAACTCTAGAATTGTGATACCTCCAGTTTTTCTTTTTCAAGATTACTTTGATTATTTGGGGCCTTTTGTGGCTGAAAAATGTTGTTCATATCATGATAGGGATTGCATTAAATGTGTAGATTACTTTGGATAGTGTGGACACTTTAACAGTATTTGTTCTTCTAATTCATGAGCGTTGAATATCTTCCATTTCTTTGTGTCATCTTGAATTTCTTTCACCAGTGTTATATAGTTTTCAGAGTACAGGTCTTTTACCTCTTTGGTTAGGTTTATTCCTAGGTATATTATTATTTTTGGTGTAATTGTAAATGAGATTATTTTCTTAATTTCACTTTCTTTTGCTTCATTATTTGTATAGAAATGCAACAGATTTCTGTACATTGATTTTTGTATCCTGTGACCTTACTGAATTAATTTATCAATTCTAACAATTTTTTAGTGGAATCTCTAGGATTTCTATACATAATATCATGTCTTCTGCAAATAGTGAGAGTTTTACTTCTTTATCAATTCAGATGCCTGTTATTTCTTTATGTTATCTGATTGCTGAGGCTGGGACTTCCAGTACTGTGTTGAGTAAAAGGGGTGAGAGTGGATATCCCTGTCTTGTTCCTGCCCTTAGGGGGAAAGCTCTGAGTTTTTCCCTAGTGAATATGGTTTAGCTGTGGGGTTTTCATATATGTGTTTATTATGTTTAGGTTATGTTTCTTCTAAACCTACTTTGTTGAGGATTTTATCACATCTAAACTAACAGATATGGTTTTTCTCCTTTTTTAAAAAAATAATATGTATCACACTGATGAATTTGTAAATATTGAACCATTCTTGCATTCTGGAATAAATCCCACTTGATGGTGGTGAATGATTTTTTTTTTTTTTTAACATTGGATTTGGTTTGCTAATATTTTGTTGAGGATGTTTGTATCTCTGTTTTCGGAGATACTGGCCTGTAGTTCTCTTTAAAAAAAAAAAAAAAAAAGTGGTGTCTTTATCTACCTATCCAGTATCAGGGTGATGCTGGCCTCATAGAATGAGTTTGGAAGTTTTCCTCCCTCTAATATTTTTTGGAATAGTTTGAGAAGAACAAGTATTAACTCTTTAAATGTTTGGTAGAATTCCCCTGTAAAGCCATCTGGTCCTGGACTTTTGTTTGTTGAGAGTTTTGATTACTGATTCAGTTTCATCGCTAATAATCAGTCCGTTCAAATTTTCTATTTCTTCCTGCTTTAGTTTTGGTAGATTATGTGTTCTTAGGAATCTATCCATTTCTTGTAAGTTGTCCAATTTCTTGGCATATAATTTTTCATAATTTTCCCTTACAATTGTTGTATTCTGTAATGTTGGATTATTGCTTCTTCTTTTTCATTTGTGATTTTAATTTTAGGCTTCTCTTTTTTTTTTTTTTTTAAGTAAGTTCTGTGCCCATCATGGGGCTTGGACTGACAACCCCAAAATCAGGAGTTGCAAGCCAGGCACCGCAGCACCCTCCTCCCCTTTTTTTGATGAGTCTGGCTAAAGGTTTAACAATTTTGTTATCTTTTCAGAGAATCAGCTCCTGGTTTCATTGATCCGTTCTTTTTTTTTTTTTTTTTTAGTTTCTATATCATTTATTTCTGCTCTAATCTTTATTGTTTCCTTCTTTCTGTTGGTTTGCAGTTTGGGTTCTTGTTATTTTTCTAGCTTCTTTAGGTCGAAGGTTAGGTTGTTTATTGCGATTTTTCTTGCTTCTTGAGGTAGGCCTGTATTGTTTATAAACTTCCCTCTTAGATCCACTTCTGCTGCATCCCAAAAGTTTTGGACCTTTGTGTTTTCATTTTTTTCCCCATGTGTGTGTGTTTTCATTTTCATTTGTTTCCATGTAATGTCCTTGATTTCTT